AGTAGGGAGGGTTTAATTTAGAAAATTAAGTTACTGCATGCTAAGTATAGTGGGTTGATGATCAATATGTTTTTTTATCATGGAGCTCTCTACATCAAATATTGTCTAATGGTCAAAGTTGTCAAATAAATATAGTATCACAAATATTTGATATATGTCATGTTACAACATCTCGTTAGTGTGGAAGTTGTCTAGATGAGATGGCACATCTACGTCAAAACATGATGCCATGGGGTCAGGAGGATCTCCAATAATCAATTGAGGCAAATTGAGATCTAAAAATTGGTCTTCATAGAACCCTTTGGCAGTTGGGGTGTAACTGACATATAATAACCATAGAAAAGTGGGTATATATACAATTATAATTCTATTTGGTTCATTTTTCTTATACCGAAGTTGTATTCCCTTAGCAGTTACATACTTCATGACAACATCTTTAGAGCTTTTCGCATCAATGGAAAACATCCCATGTAACCAATGAGGATATTGAGGCATACGACTCATACCTTGAGCATGACCTTTTTCTTTGTGGAATAAAATTTGCATCATTGCCCAACAAGTACACATGACAACCTAAATAACTTCTAAGGTCAAATTAGCTAATATAACTTGTATTTTCCTCATTTGACGCACATGTAACATCCTGACTTCTCTAATAAGAATTGATGCTACCATTCATATAGGAATATCTAATGCGCAACAATATAATAGAGCATTATATTACACATCTCTTGCATATGTAAATTATAATCAAATACCAATACATGAGGCAATGAACATAAAGCTTCTATTACTACAATTTAGTAGGTGTATTAAGAACATTAAACTATCCTAACTTTAGATCTCTGTAACAATTCAGGCTTGATTCATTGATTCTTCCCTAATGAACTAGTACTTCTTGATAGTTTATCCTGATATGAAAAACTGAATGATAGTTTGAATGAGCACACACTTGCTCAGTAAAAATATAATATGCTATCTTTTCACAAAATAATCCATCAATAGCCGTAGAAAACATAAATCTCCGGTGGGTCATCATGTCATAAAAAATAAATTTTAATTATAAAAACTGTAAAAAAATTTCTTAAAATAAATAAACATTTAAATGGTTTGATAAAATAAATTCATATTTCATTGAAGAAAATCTAATATTGAAACATAACCACAACCATCGTAACCATCATTCTTTTTATTATTCATTCCAAATATCTCCTTCTTTCTTATAAATACTAATATGACAAATCCATATCTCATATCCACTTTCACATGATCAAATTTCCTTTCACACATTCAATTTCTCTTTCACTTAATCAAACTTCACATTCATACATTAATTTCTCAAATCACAGATATTCCAAATTAACTCATATAACATTTTTCAAAGTCACAAACATCATTACATAACACTAATGAAGAATCACAACCACGATTATATATGCACAATTTTCATGTATTTAAATATTCTTCTTTTTACATCTTTTAGTGTTCTATTGCATGTTATTTTTACCAATATCATTGAGGGCCCATACGGATCTCCTCTATGTGTGGATACTCGAATATCTCCATAACAAATCATCTA